CATACGGTCCACAGGATGGGTCTTCAGGGCTGTTTCATGAGAGTTTTCACATTTTCGTGTATGCACTTTGCATATGGTCTTCAAATGACCATGCCAACGCTGAATGTGACAAGAAAGGATGACAGGCTTTCGGGCGAGGTTCTTCAAGGTGTGGAATCGCGGGAGGAGTCTCCATTCTGTCCATCCGTTATATGACGCAGTGTTTGCTATGATAAATAAAAAGGATAAAGCATTTGCCGTTGATCAATCCCTTTTTGGGATGCGGCACGCATTCTACTTCCATTTGTACATTCGTAGTGGCGTTTGAATGCGATGTGGCCTATACAATGACTTGCGGGGGCCAGCCGATGTTCAAGTCAGTGTTTTTTATCCTCCCAGACAAGTCTGGTACCAATTAACCGACCCCGGAGGGATGGAAGGCTTGGTTGGCCCGGGCGACTCACGACCCAGGATTTGATCCCGGACCGCTCGCGTGGTGAGCGCGCCACTTGTCACTACACCACTTCCGCTATCGAACACTACGGATAAGATAATAAGTGAACGACTCATTTCGAGCGTACTTTTGATAAGGACCGGTGGATGTCCTACATTCCACACTACCTGCCCACATCCCATCCACTTTTCTGCACAGGTGATCCACCCTGGAGCTCCTGCACCCTTAGCCCTTTGCGGAGGTGTCCTTTCTCCTGGTCCAGGACCGTTCCCTTGGGTCATGGCAGGCGGAAATGTGAAAACGTTTCAGGGTTTCTCACCCATTACACCAATATTTATCAGAAGTCTACTTTAAATGAGTCGATTACGTGTCGTGAGCCCTCTAATCCTTATCTTGAGTATTGGAAAAAATGGAGTGGCCCTCCCCCGAAGTGGAGTTTCACCCTTTAAGGTCTGTTCGGCACGCAGTTGTGGCCACCCCACAAGTTGAGAACGGCATGATCATGTTCAGTGAGAACGAAACTAAACTTAGAACTCTCAACCTGGTTATTTGGTGTGTTCAGAATTGCGTTGAAAGGGGTGCAGTGGCAAGTGGTTGGCTCCGCTTGCCACACGCGCGGCTCGAGGATCAGATCCTGGATAGGTGTACCGTTCATACTATAGAATCAGGTCGTTTTATTGTTAAGGGGACATTGAAGTGAGCGAACCACTCACAGAACTTGTGACTAAGCCTCAGGGAGGGGGTCTCTGGAGGACGTGAGCAACCCTTTTTGCGCTCTCTCTTATCCTAGGACTCAGCGTACCTACCGGCGGTTTTCAAATGTCCTGTTTCGAATGTACATATCTTTCTAGAGACATGAACCCAACCATCCTTTCATACCTCAGAGACCGCTCCAGAGGGGGAGGGAGAGAGTGAGTTCCAGGGTGTGAAGTGAGAGACCGCTTTAGAGGGGTGGGCTCCGGGGTGTGAAGCGCTTTTGCAGGACGGTTCCTTGCATGCTGTAGGAGGTCGCACGTGGGCTGCAAAACTGAGCTCCATTTTTGCTGAAGCGGCCCATGAAGGCTAATAAGAATAGAAAAAATGTTTGGAGTGGGTGGTTTTTCACCGATTTTGGGTAATAAATCAAGCTGTAAGGGTTACTGACGGTCAGGATAACGTACATTGTTGGTGGTGGCGCTATTTGAAGTAAATTTGAGAGCTTCAACCTAAAATGCAGAATTCGGTCTGGTCGCCACGGAGACCGAACCTTGGACCATTTTCCTAACCAGTTTTTGGTCTACAAGATGCTGCTCAGAGGAGATGGACGTCGATTTTGTGTCACCTCATGACTTCTTATAACATGCAGAAAACCGGTTTGAAAAATCGTTCCACACCCTGGAAGACCACCCTTGTCAGATGGTAGTAAACTTGAATGAAAGTATAAAAACTGTCTCATTCGTTGGCTCGTCTCCGCAATTTATTGTATGCTCAAATCGCACTCATATGCCACTACGATCCTGAGAGCAAGTAGAGTGCATGGCGCATCCCAAGGGTTGATCAACGCCATGCCAAAGGGTTGATCAACGCCAGTCAGCACCAGTGGGCATAGGCTTTTGCAATTGATAGTCTTCTGGTCTTTTTGATTTCATACACACAGAAACTGCTATGTAATGTAATGTTTCGTGTTGTGTTGTGTTTATTACTGATAATAAAATAATAAATAATAATAATAATAACAACAATAATAATAATGCCGACGGTTTATTCTTTATCTTCATGTCCAGTACTCATGAGCTAATGAAGAATGAAGCTAATATATAGTTGGCGGAGGGGGGGGGCAACAAAGGACATTTTGCCTATGTCTTCGGCCCTTTTTTCTTCGCAGAGATTGCCGTCGTTGACGGGAGTTTCCTCAGCAAAATATTCCCTAAATGTCCCTCTATAAGTAGACGCAGGCCCTCCTTCACTGCCCTCACCGTCTTCAGAATATGACGTCATCTGTCATCGTCGTCTCTAGGAGGCCTACCGTAACTGCTTCAGCCTGAAGCTCTTACATTATGTCGTGAATCAATACAATTTTGGATAATTTCCTAGAGACATTAGCTCCCAACCCCCTCGAAACTCGCTCTTCAGTAAAGGTCGTTATGGTACACGGTCCTTCGAGACCCATAGAGACGGCCGTGCACATGATTACAGGCAGATTTTTATCTGATGCATCGTAGGTCGGCCATGTGGAAGATATTTTCATAAAATAAATGTTCTCTAACAATGAGTTGGAACAGTTCGGTTTAAATCAGGTCAGAACAAAATGATCTATCTGAGTGTGAGGACAAAAGTCTTTTTTCTTCCGCTTCTATGTGTCGGTAAATGCTGAAATATGCATATTTTATGACTTCAACTCTGCAAAGGAATGGTTTGAAAATCCCGTTCACCCTTTGGGGGGAGGCGAAGAGTTCTTCTGAAGTGAAAATTCGATCGAAAGTTGATTCACATTCATCTCTCATCCTTGGTACCTGAACTTGTTACGAATTTCTTTTCCAGTAATTTTCATATTGCACAAAATGCGGGGTGCCTGTTCGAGCCATTCTTTGGCGGAGATCGGTAGTGGTCAGTCGGAGCGTCGGAATGATAACGCTATTTGCAGTTTGTTTTTATCATTCGATATCACAATGAAAGGTCGATACGATAATGAGTTCTTCGATAACGACGACGCTCAACTGACCATTGCCATAGACGATTGACATTGATTTCTACTATGATGCGATATTCGCGAGTACAATTATGTACGCAACAATTCAATGACCGTAAATTCCCTCTCGAGGTTTCGATATTCCTTGTGACTCTCATCGAATTTTCACCGATTTCTATTTCACTATTGTTCATTGTCTTGTGGGTGATGGGACGACAAGTCTCCGGAAGACAGTCTCCAGACGTGTTTGCATCTGAAATGGCGTCTGGACGAAACAGCTTCACTTATCACGAACAAATAACCAACAACAACTTCAAGCGCAATGTCATGCCTGTCGGCCGTACCGCCTATCACACACACACAAACAGCGCCACAATTTTCTCCGATTCATTTCAACTCTTTAACAATCCCATATGTGATAAACTTATTCATTACTGGTACTCAGTTGAACAAGTACTCCCACTCGACTAACCAGTTTCTATTCAATGTTCTCATTCATTGGACCACTTTGTACAGTCTCGACCTAAAAGCAACGGGATTATAGCGCGAATCACGTAATTATGCAAACTTGCTCATTGAATGGCTGATCGCTGCAACGGGATATCGGGCCCCGCCCACTGGCTGGGGACCATACTGTGTGATTCTGGCTCGACAACCCCATACAGTGCATCAGCCGTTTGAATGCTTGAACCATTTTCTTTCTTACTGCCCAATCTTTCGCTTCTTTGGTCTCTGAATTTCTGTTATGAAGAGCTTATGATGCCTATGCAACTTGATCCTTTTTTTCAATTTTTTTCAATTTTTTTCTTTTTTTTTTGAATGCGATTTTCAATAAATCTCCAGGACGAGTTGTGCATTTTATGTGAACATTCTCATAACCTCGTTATCTCGTTTGCAGGCATGAGCTTCGATGGGTTTGTCGGGCCTACCGTCCTCCTCACGGGTGTCATCTTCCTTCTATGAATACACGAGTCTTAGTGATGTATCCGAATATCGATCACCTCACATCTCCAGCTCACCTCAGATGATTTCTGTGAAGTCCGAAAAGCCAAGTCCTCCACAAGCATGGGCTCCGCAAAGCTATTCTCCTTACGAGGTCAGTTCAGATGCGTTAGCAATTCTAAGCTCGCAACCCTTATAACCTTTCGTGTTCAGGTCCCATCACTCTACAGCCCGTCGTTATCGAATCCCGTACCGGACGAACCGAACGCCTTTTCCTATCGTCAGTACAAACAGGAACCATCCTACTACACAGAACAAGCAGTATTTCCGACACCGTCGATTTTCAAGCTCAGACGACATTCCCAGATAACAGCATGAATCACAGCGGTCAGTACCACTTAGTGCTCGTTGCAGTTAGGCGCGTTTTGTCATTGCTATCAATAACTGACGCCGAGCGTCCAATAGCTGGATTGTCTCCAATGGCAAAAAAAGAAGACGAACGGGCGTCTGGCGAGGTGTGTGGTGCCATAAATCGAGAGGTGCCGCCGAGCTCGAGTCTGCCTTGCACCCGTCCTGTTTGCGCAATCCGTCATTCCGTCGCACACGCAAAACACCTATATCGATTAGTCATCGTGTTTAATGCGAGATGCACCAAGGAGTTTCCGTAAGTTGCCTGGAAGAGAACGAAAAAACCTGCAAAACCGTGTGAAACGCGGTGACGATCGAACTCAGTGTGTAATGTGGTTCTGGTTGGAAAATGAATTGCATTGCCACGTGCTGAGTATATTTACAATTGTAAACTAACAATAATTGAAAGTTTGTGAAATTAACTATTGAACATTGGGTATATCCACCAACATTAGAGTTGGAAATATTTCTGAATGATATTATTCATGAGCAGAACATTCACCTCAAACGTGCCACATAGTGGTACGGTTCGTGGTAAACCATTGCAATATGCAAGGTGCGGTGACAAGGAGCGGTTATCACTATGGAGTGACATCTTGTGAAGGATGCAAGGTAGTTTTACAGTTCTTTCGTGATCCAGTAATGTAAGGTATGTGTCCACGTACGCAACCAACCGAAGGTCATTTCTCTCCATTCGGCAAATCTAACCACAAATCTAAAAAGATGATGCAAAGCGATAAAACTCACGTATTTTTTGTTTACCACGACTAAGATTTTTCTGAACCCCACTATTTGTCATCTGTGCTACCAGTCAGGGTTGCAACAGTTTCATTGTTGAAAGGGTCTGCAAACCTATCGAGTTTTATGAAGCGTTTCTACAGTAAGCTTGATCAAATAATTATGCGTATTTTTAAACCTAATTTCGCAACGGCTTTCTGGCTTGCTCTCCGTCATTACGTCCTCCTACGTAGTACATTATGAAACCTCATCAAATTATAGTATGAGCACTTGATACCGCTAGATAACTGTAAGAGCTCTCCAGTAGAGTCCTATGAGAGAAAATGAGGAAACTCCACAGGGTCTCTATTGAGGACCTGAACTATCTCCTGAACTTTTGCAAGCTTTTAAATCCCATTAAAATCCACTTTTCCTATTCATTCCCAGTCATTACGGTACCTATCCTACCGTAATCCCTGCCATATTCTACAGCGTATTTTGAATACGTGAAAAATAATGGCCTAGTAGATTTATTTACTGACATGCAATTGAATACTGTGGAGTAGATGTAGATGACAAATTAATAAGGCTGTCTGTCTGCTTACCTCGGCACTGCCATATCCACGCGCTATTTCCACGAGCATCTCTCGTGTCCGTAGTTGCGCAACCCAGCAGCGCCTACCGTCTGCCAAAATTTGCAGACTTACAGCTAATTATCGATCGATCATTAGAGAGAACGAGGGATGGACTCTGCACATACCGAAGCTATTACGGTAATGGGCATCGATTTTTCAGGGATTCTTCCGGCGGAGCATACAGAAGCGTATGGAGTATCGATGTCTACGTGATGCAGCCTGCCCGATCTACAAGCAGAATCGAAATCGCTGTCAAGCATGCCGTTTTAAAAAATGCATCACTGTAGGAATGTCGCGAGACTGTGAGTTTTAGGAGATGATGAGTCGTTATAGTGTGGCAGTAGAGCTACCGTACACCTTCTTTGGTGCGAGTTTAAACTTGGAAATTCGTTTCCCTTCATTACACCTATTGCAAAATTATTTTCTGAAGCATTTTATGAATTTGAGTGCCCTTTTTGTACCTGCCACCAAAAGATTGTGGCCTAATATTCCATGGCTTTGTTCCAGCAGTGCGCTTTGGTCGTGTTCCAAAACGCCCTGTAAAAGAGATATCTGATGTGGACACGTCGGATTCTGAGGAGAAACCTGAAGTATCGTCCACTACTTCTCCCGAGCCTCTCAAGGCAGTGCTGAACCAGGTACGTTTCATTTCTACGTAATAAGAAAGCTTTCCGAGCAGAAGCTCCAGGGTGCATGCAGAACGACCCTCAAAAGCTTTTCGTGCGTCTACGGGACGGTGATGGATCTTATTGCTATGAAGCATGGCCTCTTTACTTCCTGTAGCTGGAACGTACTGTCAATTGAACCACGGGGCTGGTAGAACATATCATTCCTACGAGTCTGCTGAATCTTGATTTCTTTCCGGAGCTCATGATGCAGTGGAATTCGGAAAGCTGGAAATCTATGTGAAGATATGTTACCCTCTTTTTACCAAAATTTTTCCATGACCAAGCATTTGGCTAGAGAG